TACCTGAGAAGGGTTTCCCTGTCCTCCCCCTGGTCAAGCGTCAGGGAGATGGAGGCCATGGTGTGTGCGACACGTACCATGCGCGCGGGGACTAGGTTCAACGTGCCGGTGGGACCTCAAGAGCCACAAAATACCAGACCGAAAACAGACCTATTTCTCCTCCACCCCTACCTGAGAAGGGTTTCCCTGTCCTCCTCCTGGTCAAGCGTCAGGGAGATGGACACCTCGGACGTGGCCACCATGTCGATGGAAAGCGAGTGCTCGGCGAAGGCCTGGAACACCTGCTGCAAGAAACTGCAGACAGACATACAACACACACACACCAGTTGGTGACATTTAGAAGGCGTTTTCTTGTTTTCAACAGCGCTAAGACTGACGCCTTTTCATTGGTCAGTCGGTCAGCGCGGTCTACGCCAATAACACCACGCCAACATTGTGATAGAAGGGGCTCAGGCGTGCATGGAGAGGCAGACCGCAGTAGTGCTTGACGGGGGGGGGGGGGGGGGGAGGCAAGGGCGGATTTCGCACGCTACACAGGTACCGCAGCCCCAAACATAAAAAACGCCTTGTACATACCTTCCAGCATGCACAGCCGCAGCAGCTACAACCGACACAGAAACCACCTCCATCACCACCATCAACGTCCAACGCCCAAAACAGACGTCAAAAGGACGACCACTACCACTCTAGCACCACCAGCAACGACAATCAACAGCAACAACGGCACCACTTCCAGGAAGATAAAACGATTACCAACACGACCGCCATCGCTACTACCACCAACAACAACAGAAACAAGCAACTCAACACCATCGTCAACACCAACGACACCACACCAAAAACGATACAGAGAAAATGATGGAGGAATAAAGAGGGCCCCGCCTCCAACCGCACAAGAAAGATACACGCACAACACACACGCCTATTAAAAACAAAACGCACCAATAACAAAAAAAAAGAAGAGCGCCCGTACAAAAAAAAAAAACGGACGCACCGACAACAGTATAGAATGCATCCGGAAAAACAAAAAAAATGAACCAGTAAAAAATAAAACACGCACCCGTACATGAAACACAAAACACGCACCGGAAAAAATATACTTCGAAGTGCAATAAATATTCCCGTAAAAAGAAAAACACACACACACGTCAATAAAAAATACAGGCAGCCTTCTCTGACGCTATGAATTCATTGCTAATCTATCTGAGACTCTTTTCTTCGACAGAATACTGATGAAAAAAAAAAAATGCAACGCACCCGGACTGCCCAAGCATTCGCGTGGACACGATGTCGACCAGCTCGACGCCCTTCTTGAAGGTGATGGCCGTCACCAGCGTCTCCCCGCAGTCCCTTTTCGCGGCGATCACCGTGCCAGGGTGGGAAGGGTTGTACGAGTTCTTGATGCGCACGGGGAGCCCCGTCTTGATCACAGGGCGCATCGACACCTGGCACGGCAGCGACATTGATTTGCGGTCCCGGGGAGCCGGGGGGCGATGAAAGCGTAAGAGAGGGACGGAAGGGGAGCTCATGTTTTACATTTTTTGTACGAGTCCTTGATGCGCACGCGGAGCCCCATCTTGAGCACGGGGCGCATCGACACCCTAACCCAACCTCCTCCACAACATGATCTATCGAACATGTTTACTTGCTAAAAAAGCCTGCGAAGGCTACTGGCACACCCCACCAGCGTTCTTTCTCCCGGCGGTATCACTGGTCGCCGACTTCGACTCAACCCCCACGCAACCACCGGCTCTTCCGATAACGATAAACACCACGCACCGGGCGCCTTTCTCTCTCTCTCGCTCTCTCTCTCTCCATCGAAACGAATGCACGAAGCACGTCAACATCCATCCTTCGATATCCATCTCTGTTCTCTCTTTTCGTTCTCTCGCTTCCCACGTACCGGATGCAGGATGTTGGCACCGAAGTAGGCCAATTCCGCCGCCTCTTCGTAGGAAACGCAGGGCACGGGTACGGCTCCTGGCACCGCCCTCGGGTCCGCCGTCATCATGCCGTCCACGTCCTTCCAGACCTGATTGTTTAATTGAATTCGATTTCGAAGGAGGAAGAGGGCAAACGACAGCCTGACTTGTCCTTCGGAAAGGGTCTTCGAGGGTGCTGGTGAGTGCAGTCAATTGCCGATTTGACGTATATGGCACCAACAGCGAACAGCAGCAATGATAACACCCAACCCAGCCATCATGCCATCCACGTCTTTCCACACCGGGTTGGTTGATACGTTGTTGTTTCTCACATTAGCTCCATACTCCACAACAAATGGGAAGCCCGTGGTCTCAAAACCCGGCACATAAGACGCCGCGGGGAAACAAAACAAAAATAGCGTACAAACCACTCGGAAAAAGAAAACAAAATGATAGAAAGAAAATATGAGCTACCGCACCGTCCGTTCGAGAAAAGAGCCCTCGGAAACCGATCAAAAAAAAAAAAAAAAGGAGGACGCTTCCCACCCCCGCCTAAAGGAAAAATCAAAGGGTAACGTGCCAGCACCAGGCACTACGCACCAGGGCATGGGGAGTAACGGAGCAAACAGGACCAAGAGGCGGCAGTATGTCGATTCGATTCCGAACAAGGAGGACACGAAGAAATACGACAGGCCGAGTAATGATTCACACGAAGAAGCTTGAGGGTGTTGGTGGATCTCCCGTTCCGAACGAACAAGAAAAGAAACAGTTCTTCCGCCCCGAAACGAAGAACAAGAGAACAAGATTCTTCCCTCCAGAACAAAGAACAAAGAAACAGTTCTTCCGTCCCGAACGAAGAGCGGAGAAAACAGGTATGAACAACACGATTGGATTTGGAGGATGTGGTGGATGTCCACAGCGCGAACACCATTAGCATCAGTAACGTCTTCGCGACAAATTAAGTCAGTGAGGGGAATACAACAGGGAGAAGTACGCAGACCCCTTCCCCAGCCCAACTTCCCCCATTGCATGCTTTCTCCACCATGTTTACGCCATCGAAAAAAACCCGCGAAGGCGACAGCAGCAACAGCAGCAACAACACCGCCACCATCAACGAAAATAACAACAACAGCAACAGCAACAACAACAACCATCACACCGCCGCCACCAACAAGCCAGCAAGCAAGAGGTAAAAAAGGCGAAACTGCTGCGCTTACCTGAACTTCGTCGGCTCCGCAAGCGACGCCGATGACGGTGGCCGTGAGGTCTGACCCTCCCCTCCCGAGGGTCGTGATCTGCTTGCAGGGGGACTGGCCCAGGAACCCGGTCACCACCGCCACCCTGAAAAGTGGGCCAAGGACCGGACCAAGTTGGATTTGACTGAGTTATGGATGGTTCGGACCAGGTTTCGAAGGGGTAAGTCGTCGGTGACTGGTCGGCATGAAGCCCAGATCAGAGAAAGACAGGAGCTTTTTACCCACGTACCTACCTGCCTGCCTCTCTACCTGTCCGCCCCTTTCCTATCTTCTCTCTCTCTCTCTCTCTCTCTCTCTCTCTCTCTCTCTCT